ATTCGCTTCATAGTCAACCGCTTACAGCGCATGTCAGAAACAACCCATTTGCATATCTGAATTTCAGCTCCGGATCTTCCTCAGTGCTTGACACAGTGATAGGATATCAACAGGAAAGATAGCGGTGGTTTTCCGTATCAATTCCAGGACGAGTTCTCATCCTTTGAAAGAGCACTAAAGTGGATTTGCAGCAAAAACAGCGTCTTCTCAACATGTTGACAATATAACCCAAACACTAAAGTGTTTGAGGGCGGGGCAAAGCAGACATTGTTCACGAGCAGCCAACGAAAACCATAAGCTGGCAATCTACATTCCTAACAGTCAATGACGACTTGTTTCAGCAATTCAAAAACAATTCTTTATTTTAGAAGAACATGACGGTATTTTTCATGTACTTTGATCATTAAAACTTACATTCACAAAGAGCTAATTACACCTGTATGAAAGGTAATATCCAAAAAAAAGCATAAATAGGGCACTTTAACAATAAACAATTATTTTTACAGCATAGAGTAAATATCCATGACTCTGTGCTCAAATCTTCTTTGGCACACATGTACAGGCGGTGTCAGGCCGAGGGAGCAGCGACAGCTAAAGACGCTGAGTCAGTCAGTTGGACATGACGGGATGCGCCTTGCAGGATCTGCAAGTGTTTTCTGAAATTTGAGCAGCTCCGCTGTAACATTCTGTTCCACAGCTGCTCATGCCACATGATCGACAGCCAGATAATCAGCATCTCGCACACCCTCATACACCTCAGCACCAAAACATCACATTAGCACCCTGTCACTGTACTGGCCTACACAAACACTGGGAAATCACAAGCATATCTCACTTGGATATTGAACTCATCTGACCCTGTTCATTGAAACTGTCCATATTTCGCAATAGTTCAACTAATAATGCTATAGTTCATTCAAAACTCTTAGAATTGTGCATGCAGCTTTCGTTACCTCATTACATCAGAAATTAAATATTTCCACTTGCTTTTAAAGATGTCATGCCATAGAAGCATTTTAAATGAACGTAAAAGGGTGATTTAATTGTGAAGGTTTAAACCTTTAAGTCCGTTGACAGGTTTTGCCTCGACTACCATAAACACTGTCTGGTCGACTCTAATGCCAACAGAGCAGTGTCTGTGAACTGCGAAACTGCAGGGTGCTGGAAGAGCAAGAAACTTGATATCACAGGGGGAGAGAGAGCATGTGAACAGCTTCATCCTCCAGTCTCACACTACAGCGCTCAAGACAACTCCACCACACTCTCTCGACTCGCTTGCACCGAGGCTTTCACTCACAGAA